GTCAATGTTCAGGCCTTAATCTAGCAGATAACCTCACATTGTATTAATTTGGCTTTGCTTGTAATTGTTGCTAATTATAACCATTAGCTAATACACCACGGTTAAAAACCAGGGGCAAATTGGTGAGGATGTCAGTTTTCACATACTGATTTCATTAGGCGCTCAACACTGTGTCCTCCCCAAAGTTCTTTTTCTGGTTAATCCTTACAAGAACCCTGTGGTGTAATCTAAAACATTCTGAGCAATGTTGTCCTTTTAGAAATAAGGAAAGCCAAGCAAATGCAATCTCAAGGCCCCAAGAGCAGCGCCATGCTGATGAGCACCAGGTCAGGGGAGCACATTTCCTGGAGCTTGCATATGGATCTCCTGGAAGCAGAGGACACAGTTTGACAAAGTGTTTTGGTCACACCTTTTATGCTTTCTTATTATGGAATCACTGGGCAGAAAGATTTTTTACTGCTCTTGTGTGAGACAGTGGCCGTGTGAGAGCTGAGTTGTTCTTGGATCGCTGCATTCCTGCTTATGTCCTAGAACTAACCTAGAGTGGAAAGTTTGGAAAGTTTGTGGGCTTTTTAAGTAGTTTCAAAATTCATCTTGAAATTTTTCAGGTGGCAAGGATACTAGACGTTTCTGAAGAGATGAGGAGGATTATGGGAGTGAACTCTGGTCTTGAACTGATTACTTTGCCTTATGGACATCAATTGCGCTTGGACCTAATTGAAAGGTAAATGTTCCTGAGTCCTTATTTCCAAGGCAGATGGCCCTGAAAAGGACAGAGCACTGTTACTCTGTACTCAGCATCTTCTCAAAGAATGCTTTCCTGTACATTTGCTGAATCTGTGTGTGCAGAAGATAGTTTATCGCTTCTTTTTGCAAAAGTAAATTCCTTGAGGTCATAGGGCAACTCTGCTTGTAGTACTGGGAGGTGGGTGCTATGGAAAGCAGGATCCTAGAGCTGCTGAAAATCTTCAGCTCTCTTTTAATCGTTCCTATTAAGGAAAGTTCAGAGGACCTACGTTCCAGCTGACTGCACAAGTGGTTTTTTTGGTAGAGAATCCTGATAACTGCCTTTTGCAGATGGGGAAAAGAGCAAAAGAACTCTTTAGGGATATTCAGCCAGCCAGCTAGCACGCCATAAGGCATTACTGATCTCTCTCTGATTTCTAGCTATTGACAGCTCATGTCCTATTCACAAGTGGAGTAAAACAGAAAAGCAACTCACTTGGCTGGTTCAGCAGTCATGTTCCATATGCCTGATGTTGAGTGCAGCTAATATTCGACAACACTGACAGGGTGCTACCCAGGTTTTTTTGAACAGAGTACCACAGATCTGGCTGACCAGTAATTAGCACTGAATGAATAGCATTGAAGAAAACATACTAGAACATAAACTCAAAAAAACATTCTATAATAATGGCATTGCAGCTCTTGATAAGAAGATGCTGTAAAAGCAAGTGATACTGAAATATACCTGAGTTGATCTTCTCTGAACTTATGTACATCATAATGTATTAATAATTAGTAACCACTAATATAAATTGTTTCACTTGCAGGCACAATACCATGGCAATAGGAATAGCTGTGGATATCTTAGGTTGCACAGGAAATCTGGAAGACAGAGCTGCAACATTAAACAAGATCATCCAAGTTGCAGTGGAGCTGAAGGACTCACTGGGGGATTTGTATGCATTTTCTGCCATTATGAAAGCACTAGAAATGCCACAGGTAAAAAAAATAAAAAAAAATAAAAAATCATCAATTTTCTCTTTACATTTTGAAAAGTAGTTATTAGTTGGTTCGATTAAACTAACTTATGTGGTAGCAGCATGTTTTTCCTGTGACTTGCTAGAGTAAAAAATGTCTACATTCCTCTTATTTCATCTGAACAGGTCACCAGGTTAGAACAAACATGGACCTCTTTAAGACATCATTACACCCAGACTGCCATCGTGTATGAAAAACAGCTGAAGCCATTCAGCAAAGCTTTGCATGAAGGACAAGGTGAGTGGAATACTGAGCATGAATTTGATGCTGTTTGGTTTAGCTTTTTAACTCTGCCCTTGCCACTTGCCTGTGGAAGGAGGTGAGCTGCTGTTTTGACACCTGTGTATCATATATTTTAAAAGGCTACAGAAAGTAGTAAAACAGTGAAATAAAAGGAAACAGTGCACAAGCAAAACAGGAGTATGTATGTGATTGATTGCATGCGTCCATGCAAAACATAAAATGCAGTGGAGCAGAAACCAAGAATAACTGCAAAATCTTGCCTCAAAGACAGGATAAAAAATCTCCTTCTCTCTCTCCAAGGAAAGTTATTTTGGGCAGATTTGTTTTTTGTGTGCTTTGCCTACTGGATCAGATGATGAATTCTGGAATACAAAGAATGGGTCAATCGCATAATTCCTTTGATCACTTCATCAGGTGCTCTTAGCAGCTGATCTCCATAGGGGCCTAAGGGGGAGGGATGTTTCTCTGAACACTTCTGTGGCTAAGAGAACAGGTAGAGATAGAACACTTTGTAGTCTCACAGTTCTTGCTGTGGTTTATTTTATTTTGGCCCTCTCCCCCAAGCCAAGCAACTTACTAGAAACTGGCAGGACAGAACATATCAGAAGTGAGGTGCTAATTTTGTGATTCAAAACAAATGCCAGTTTCTGACTTAGAAAAGAATACTGCATTTACAATACTTGATTCAGTTAGCATTTCCATGTCTGATATGGTTTGTTCTTCTCTATTCCAGAGATGGTCAGTGTTCCACAGAACCTAACATTGCCACTGCTGATGCCTATTGTTACCTTGATGGAGCGACAAGCTGTCACTTTTGAAGGGATGGATCTGTGGGAAAGCAGTGACCAAAGCTGTGAAATAATGTTCAGGCACTTGACCACGGCTCGTCAGATAGCACAGAATGCAGAAACGTACAGCTTGACTGCACAACGGATGCTGGAAGGTAGGGAGCACCTACAGGAGAACTGCATATTAACAGAACATGTGGGCTATGTCTGAAGAATAAGATCTCTGCTTAAGTGAAGGGAATAGTTGCTACAATAAATTCTTCTCAGTTTTCATGGGAGCTGATATAGAAGCAAAGGTCATGCAGGAAAGTCAGTAACTGAATCTAAGTACAGAAGAATCAAGGAAAACTCACTGCTTCCTGTGCAATTGAAGTCTGCACTCTAATCTTTGGAAATAAGTTGCCATTTACCATAGCAAGATTCTTTACCAGGAGGCCAAGATGCAAGACAAAGATCTTGACTTCTTGCAGCTGGAAAGGAGCAGTAGGTTAGTAATGTGACTTTTATAACTTAAGATTGCAGTGAAAAAGTTGAGACAGGGAGGAAATGTAGTTCTACAGCAAGCATGCAGCAAGTATGCATCAGTAATTAGTTTCTAAATGACTGTACTGACAATTATGTGCATAACAACTCTAGACCATTAGAATTCACCAAAGGATAGCTTATCCCAGTAATACCTGCAGCCATTCTAGTGCTACTAGAATACAACATGTTGAAGTTTTTCACTTTTTCTAGCTTGTTAAAACAGTGCAAAAGAAACTAAGCAGACTAAAGCTCTTCTTATTTGCAGGGAATGCAGTTTAAAAGGCAATTCTTCCAAGTATAAAAAACTTGCTTGATGGTGACACTATTCTTTTTACTTACTAGGTTTCCAGCCAGATGAAGAGATGAGCGAAATCTTCAAGACAGAATTTCAAATGAGATTGCTCTGGGGCAGCAAAGGAGCACAAGTTAATCAGAATGAAAGATATGAGAAGTTCAGCCAGATTTTAACTGCACTTTCCCGAAAACTGGAACCTCCTCCAGTGAAGCAGGTGGAACAATTAAGTATCTAAGACTATAAACACTATTAAGTGAAGATATACTTGAAATAACTGTAGCTTGCTTTCAGTAATTTGATACTGCACGTACTTCTTGCATTTCACAAGATGTTTAGAACTTCTAATTGCACAATGCACACTTGTTTTAAAACTACTGACTTCTCCAACAAATTATTTATTTACTGTGCCACTACATCGTTAAATGATCCCTTTATGCAGGTAGGTTGTCCCTGTAAAGTACTTCTTTAGCTTTCTGCATTTCCTTAAGGTTGCAATCTTTTGATAATGCCTAAGAATAGGGGCATCTGCATTATAATTATATTTAAATGAAGCAAATAGTGTAAATAAAGTGATAGATTAACTATGTGACAGTTGTATAATACTCCTTAACTGGGTATAAAACACTGTGTATAGAATTGTGAATTAAAGTATATCTTTATGCAAAATAATCTGTAGTTGAAGAAATTATCTGTGACTGCAACAGACGGTTCAAGTTTCACTTTACCTATGGAAGTGGAAAATTAATTGTGTGTGTTGGGACAATTGAAAGTTTTTTTTTTTCAGACAGCATGTGAAGCACTTTAGTTTTTGCTGGAGGCCGGGCAGCTACGCTGCCAGGAAATGAATGATGAAATGGCAAGAACAAACAACCTAGGTAATTAAAATGCTTTCATATATGAGTAAAGGTGGGTGTACGTATATATTAAAACTTCACATTCTGAAGTGAATCACGATAAGCAGTACTTACTTTTTTTTTTTCTTGGATGAAGAGTTACTTCAGATTTCATAGATAATCAGAGTGCATAATGTTAACGTAAAGAATGCTTCAGCAGCAAATATTATATTGTCATTACATGTACAGACTTGATGTATAAGCATTCTCAGAAATTGTATAAATAATTAGGCAAGAACTGTGGTTGCAGAGTTGCATTTGTTCACTGTAAGTAAGCCTGTCTCTGGAGTAAGATGTTAGGGCATTTTAAAGTACTAGAATAGGGCAAGTAGGCAAATGAGCAAACCAATACCACAATGGTGGCAATCAGTTCCCCTTTAGCTACAGTCACTGCAGAGGGACTACAACCATACCATGAGGTAACAGAGCTCCTGTTCACGTTGTCACAGTGCAAAGTCTCCCTATCAATGTTAACAAAAAGGTTGAAGCTAATTTTTTAAACCATGAAAAGATCTTTTTATTCCATGAAAATACTCTCAACAGAGAACACTATCTTTAAACAAAGCATTTAACATTTAGGAAATCAACATGTGCACAAACAGAAGATTAAAAATTACTGGAAAAGGCAAGTCTTTTAGACACCTCACATTCAGAATTTTAGAATAAGTGATTTATAACTAGCTATGCAAGGACAGATGTATTTTTTCCTATGCTTAATAACCCTCCCACAAGTTGCACTATCCCTAGTGAAAGCAACCTGCCTTCAATGGAAGCAAATCCTGGTTTTAGAAAAACAAACAGTAGTGTAAATAGAACATTTTGTCCTTTCCCAGGAAGTGTTATTACTGACCTGCATGGCTGTTAGCCAGGCAAACCACAGGCCCTTTAGCAGAAAATACACAGATCACATTTCTTCCTTTCCTCTAGTTTTAAAATGAAAAAAGTACTATTCAAAAAAAAAAAACCTACGTAAATAGTTTTGTCAGTATTGAGTATTGTCACATTATAATATAAATAACCCTGTATACAAGCTCCAAAAATCTAAACTTTAGCATTTAATAGCCCCCATAATACACTAGGTCAAGCTGTGTAATAATGGTAAAAAATGAATAAACCTCTACACAAGTCACTCAAATTCAGTTTTACTGGTAGTACAGTTCCTAATAACACTGAAATTAAAAAGAATCCAGCACTTCTCCATCCAAATATTGCTTGAGACCCCACAAAAACAGGATGTTTTGATTATTATTTCCCAAACAGCAGTTGGCTGGGTAGACGAGCTTTGTTTGATGCAAATATCCCCCCCCGCCCAAAACCTCTAATCTAATTATTATCACCCTAGTAGATCAGATATGATGTATTTATTAATAGAACCACAAATGGGAGGCAAGACAACATAAAGCAACAGGGGCACTGCAGACAACTATATTTACACGTATAAACATATCCAAATCTCAATTGTTTACAAGTAAAAGTGCACATAGATCATTACGAAGTATCACTCAAATTTCAACTGGTCCATACAATGAAGCATCACCTAGAAACGGACTAGCACTGCAGTAATTTAATTAAAATTGGAACTTCATAGTCAAAAAACTAAAAGAGTTTCCATAAAAATAGTTTTAAAAATATTAAAATCAAATTAAGAGATACACATCCCAATGTATAAAATTCATGATGCACCATGTATCCTGTAAAGTAGAGCTCTACAAAACACCTACCATGTCTACCTCAGCAGCTGCAGCACTGTGGAAAGAGCTGAGACACAAAGCCCTTCGTGAGATACTGTAAGTGGTAGTGTTGGCAACAACAGATTTAGGCACTATAGTTTAAGGCAGCAGTAGAATGGCAAGTGGTTGACTTCTGAAAACAGTCATTAGCTCGCAGTGGTGAATCTCTCTGGCGGTGTTCCAGGTTTTCAGTGCTGACAGTAGGTTACTGAAGTGCTGAAGATGGACCACAGGTCTAGAAGTTTCTCTTGACTGCATTGTAGGTTAGAGCTGGGATGTATTATTTCCCCGAATCAACATAACATAAATACATTACGGTCTCTTACCGGTTATGCTAAAAACTGGAATGTAATGATGGTTGTAGTGGAAAAGTTATAGCAGCATACATGGATACTGGATGAAACTCTAGTACTGAAGGTATTTAAAGAGAATGATTTGTTACAAAATAAGAGAAGCAATGATGTCAAACAAGCGTTATGCAGATATGCCTGACTGTCCTAGGCATGCAAGAGGAGGTTAAGGGCGAGCATGGAGGTGGTGCAGGCAGACTGGTAGCTGACACGGTTCTAAATGACTGCCGTTTAAAATGAGTAGGAAAGAGTATAACCAAACCAACCAGAATGTAGCATGAGCTAAAATATAGTACGGGCCTCTTTGACCACCTATGACAATGAAAATAATGCAGTTTTAGGAAGAGATGCCTTTTTACTCTGGTAATGGAATCCTATTTTCCTGCACAAATTTAAGAATTTGTAATACATCCTTAGTTACGTATGGAAATGCTAAGAATGTTAGTGACTAAATGTATGTCTGCATGCATTCATGCAACTAGCTTTTCCCCTTGTTCAATGGGCATCCCAGTCTAACACCTCCCTCCCACCCCCCGCCCCAAGCAGCTGCATGTAACCTCCTTCAAGATCTCGCCCATTTTCTCAGAAACCCGCTTCAGGAACCTGCAGTCCAAGAGGAAAAAGAAAAGAACAAAGTTACTGAGGGCCTTTAGAAGACAGGGAAGCGTGCTCAGTTCTAACAGGCCATTCTCAGTGGCTGTACAATAGCTTTGTATTACTCTCATAAATTCACATTAGAAATACCAGCAATAGTTTCTAGATGAAATCAAGTAGTGCAATGCAGTTTCCAAGCCTCAATGATTTAACAGTGAGGGGAACAGAATTAGTTTAAAAAAGAAAAACCTTGATTTCAAACTAAACATGATATAATTCAAAGACAACTTACAGGCACAGATTAAGAATCTAAAATCGTTCCCTTTTCAGGAGCAAATGGAGGTTAAAATTGAGTAAAACACCAAGAATTAATTAAATGTGGCTTTTGTTGTTGTTGGATTTTTTTCTGGTTCAAGGTGTGTATAGTTAAAACAATGCAGTTGTGTCCCATACACAACGTTCTACATGAGAGCTACAGCAAGGGAAGGAGAGGCAGGTCAGTGGACCTTCTGTCCTTTTTAATCATACTGTTTTCTTCCTGAGTAATTTTGTTGAGCTTTTTGATTCAGAAAAGATCTTCCTGTTTAAGAAGCGAAAGATGCCAACTATTTGCTAAGAAAGGAAATAATAATTTTCAGTAACTGAATTCAGTTAGTAGAGGAATAAAACACTCGTTTAAGCATATAGGTTTAAGTCAGGGAAGTGAACAGTGTATCTGAGTGGTCTTCAAAACTAAAGTAATTTTTCAGTTCTCTGTAAAGACAAAGTATTGTACAGAACAAGCAGGAATCCTGGTCTTTCTCCATTTTATAGCTGAATTGGATTTAGTGCTTTGTAGAGCAGGAACATTTTATCAGTGAACAAAGCAGAAAGCATTAGCCAGAATTATGGACCAATTTAATGCTGTTATCTCTAGAAAAGCTACAGCAAACTCACATTGCAAACAATAGGCCATTCCTGACTTCTGTTATTCTCATGCTTTCCATGAACCTGCCTGACTTACTATTTTTCCACTATTTTCCCTGGAAAACGTACACTTGAAAGTTGCCAATTTACTGTTAGATATAGGTTACTGCACCTTTGCTGTTTTTCTCTAGCGTTACATCTATATAAGATGTTGGTACATAGCCTTCCTCTCCATTTTGTCTTCGAGCTCTTGTCCACCCATCTCCTTTGTCCTCCTCAATAATGTACAAAATTTCCCCTTCTTTCATTGCCAGAGTGCCTTCATTATGACCTGGGAAAACAGAAGGCAAAGAAGACAGAATTTCTATTTTTTTTCTCAGGACGTAGTTTCCAGATTACATATAAACAGGAAGTATTAAAAATCTGTGAAGCAAACATATGGTCAAACAGGCTGAGACAGACAAAAACCTAGTCCAATCTCTGTAGCTGAATATTTGCCAAAGTTGTGCTAACTTTTCTGAAGAAACAGCAGAGAAGCAGTACTTATGAATTAAACTTATTTCCAGTGCTCTTATAAGCAACCAGTTGCTCATAAAAATTTACATTAATTTACCTCAATTTTCTGCAGCAAAACATCCATACCCTACAGGCAAATTATTTTTGAGTCAAGCAACCATAGTATATGTTGTTAACCTTACCATCAAAAGGATATATTGCCTTGCAATGTCCAATAGCTGGTAATGGATCATCATCTTCAAACTCATCGTCAAACTCATTTGGATGCGCGTGCTGCTGTGGTGGGCCTCGGACTTCCTGATTCGCATCATCTGTGTAACTCCCTTCAGGGCTATAATGCAATGATCGCAGCGTGAGGATTCTTCAGAGTTCTGAGCTCTGAAACTCTGAACATATATACATCATAGGAAAGTGCAAGACCCTGGATATTTCTTTGGGAAGGCATGTTAACAGTTCCAGAAGTGATCTTCTGAAAGTGTTTTGATCTAATAACAAGGGCTTGGGCCAAATTCTTTTACAAAACCAAAGAAATCTGACATACCTGTCTTTGCAAAACACGGAAAACAGGTCAGTGTAACGTAATGGAAGAAGACAGCATTAAAAGGTGCTATGAGCAGGTGTTACAGTTCAACTCTCCATTTTTCTACATTACCGTGATGATCTAAGTGACCTCTAGAATTTAGAACTAGTAAGATTATCCTTTGGAAGGACATAAACTTTCAGAGGATAAGGAACAACCTTCTATTAACTAATGGAGAGAGATACTGATTCCAGCATAGATTTAAAAGCAGTAGAGATAGAATAGAATAGTGACCTCTCTCTGCCCTGTGTTACAAGGTGGTTGATATCACTGCTGTGTCGCCTGTCAGTTCTGGCTGCTACTTTTCCTTCAACTTCAGAGAGCCAGGCCTTGAAGAAAAGAAGACAAATACTGGTATCAAGATGAACGCTGATCCTAAACCAGCAACTACAATTTAAAAAATGCACTTAACTACATACTGTTTAGTTGTTGGTGTACAGCCACAGAGGGACTGTATTCATCTATGAAGTCTTGAAATTATTTTATATGAAGCATGAACCTAACCCCCTCTGCTTAGCCTATACTCTGTACTGGTAAGTACAGTAACAGAGAAAAAAAATCTGTAACCACCTATGACTTGCAGAATAATTCATTCATAAATTCTTCTCAACATACTGCATCTACTATAAAGTACACTGTCATTGCAGCTAGACTAACATTTCTGAAAATAGAGCACCCCACAGAAAACTGTATTGGGAGATCTTGGTTTAATCAAGTAGTTTCACAGCTGATATGTAACCCATAAGGCAATGTACCATAATATTACCATTCATGTACATTTTCTAAGAAATTGCTTTAGATTCTAACCTCATTCTTGTGTATTTCCATCCGCAGGCGGTCCATGTTGCTCATTGTCTCAGCTAACTTTGGCTGTAAACTGCTTGGATCACCCATCTGGGGATTTTTTTCATAAACATCTCTCATCTTGATGAGGGCATCTCTAACATAGAAAACCCCACAATAATTATACAAATTATATATACCTGTACTAGTTCCTTAAAGCAAAGATAATGTTTACATTTGAAATCTTAGCCCATGATTACAGTTCACAGATACTAAACAAAGATACTATACTGGAGCAGGAGGATGCAATGTTAGCGGAATCTACGCATGGCAGATCTTCAATTAAAAATATTTTCAATAGCTTAGAATAGCTTATTCTCTCCTAATTTTTGAAGTTTTTGGCTAAAGCATAGGACTTTATGATGCACTCACTTTTGGTCAGTTTCCTTCTGTAGTTCTCTGTTGAGTTCATCAATTCTCTGCTGAAGTTTCTTGCGTCTCTGTTCTGGAGGAAGGTGGCTGAAGTCTTCCAGTGCAGGGCCCTGAAAAAATACATACTGTTACACAAGTAACACACGCATCTGGGCAGCTGAACTGACATACCCACACATGAACGGTGTTCACTGGAAGCAAGATGGACCTTCTCAGAACTCTACTTGACACACAGCTCTTTAAAAGACCACAACAGAATTGATGCGTGTTCTTGGTGCTATCCTGTAGTCACTCATTCAAGGTTCTTTCTACCTTCTGTAACAGCTGGCTTAGTGTTGCGATTAATAATTTGTAGATTAAGCACTAATTAGTCTAAGAAGCTGAGCCACGAAACTTCCTAGTTTAGCCACTGCCCCAGTGCAGATGTAACAAAACCAACATTACTTACTGAACATTTATTTCAGTCAGAAGAAAAATCTAACGTGTATATAGCACATAGGTAATTGAATCTTTCCACAGACTGTGTTTTCAATGGCTACTTGGATGCTGTCAAAAAAAGAACACTGTCATTTGGACCTTTGTTCCAAAATATTAATAATATAGTTCTCTTTCAGAAGCTCATCAGTCTTGCTAGAAAACATATTAAAAGAATCTCAATTGGACTTACAAAGTTCTGACACATTTTCCCTAGAGTAAAACCAGTTCACAGCGCATAGAATTTATACAATCAAACAAAACTTGCTCATATATTCCGAGTAACCTTCTTAATTACAAAAAAGAACATTTCAAGGGAGGGAAAAAAACCTGCTAATTCTCAATTTTTATTATTATCTTTTTAAACTTAAGGCCAAATATTGGTATGAGCCCACATTTGCAAAGGTTTGATTGCAAGCTTGTGCTAAGATTATAAATAGTATGGTAGAATTGGCATGTAATAAAGCATGGGAGGAGATTTTTACCAATCATGTGAATTTGATGTGCCAACTTTCCTCCATGAGCAATAGACACCTAAACTGCTTATTAAGAAGGAAATATAGTACACATACTGGTAACAAAGTTACATTACTTTCTGACAAATATTTGTAGGTCAAAAAAACCTGCTTGCCATTACAGAGACCCTCCACAGATGTAAAATGAGCTGGACAGCATTTCTTTTGACAGGAAGCCTAATAAACATTGCTGTCAAGATTTTGACACAAACAGCCTTAGGTCCAGGTGCAGTTCTGGGTTTCTAGATTCCCCCATCTTAATGATCTTCTTGCCCCTCAACTTCTTGGCTCTCCTCCACTTCTAAAATCCTAATCTCTCTTACTTTCTAAGATGGAAATACATGAGCCCATTAAAAAGAATAAAAAAGGAAACCAAAGATCAAAGTATGGTGTTTCAAAAACAAAGCAAGAGTGTTTCTTAGAAAACAAAAAGGCTTTCAGGTGCTTCCACACGCTACAGAAAAACAGATAATCATGTCCTTTGTATCATTGTTCCTTACAGGTCAATTAATTAAAACCAGTGAGTAATATTCAGAGGAACACAGTTATTCATGTGATTTTTTTTACTTTTTTACTCTGCAAAGTTACAATATCGATTAAGGGGCATTTTTTTATTTAATATAAAAGCTTTCTAGTACTCCTAAACATAAAGGATCATCTCCTCTGTAAATGTCAGGTTGAATTCAAGTGCGTGAATTTTGTAATATTCACTATTCCTCTTTTAAACAAGTCTTGTAATCTTTTTGTATACTCTTATTTTATGCTGCTTTAAAAATTATTTCTGAAACAGAGAAAGCATAAGTATTTCCATCATCACCAGCTGATGAATGCTGGTCAACCTTAAAATCCCAGAACCACAGAATAAACTGCAGACAGATCACAAGTCTCATTATCTCATGTTAAGCATGTGGATGGTTAAGAACATGACTGTGTATGAGAATGGAAAGTCTGAAGATGTATTCCAGTGCCTGACTTAGAGCAGTTATGATATGGAAACACTTTCAGAAGATTACTTTCATGCTATCTTAGCAGAAGTACAGCAGACAGATCAGCACACGGGCTTACCGTCTTCACCGACCACTGCACAGTTCATTTGAAAACAGAAAGAAACGGGAAATTACTCACATGTAACGACCAGTTACAAAAATGATTAATGCCTAAAAATGTATCTTTAAAGTATTAAACATTAATATTTTAAACTATGAAAATACGTTTTACTACGAGCACAAGAACAGCAAAAAACAATCAGGAATGCACTTCTGCGCTAAGCATTATAGATTTAAAAAAATCAGTAGATGAGAATAGGTAGTTTAACTTACAAAACTATAAAACACAACTTCTTTAAACTAGGGTTTAGATTTGAGTGTTCAAATGATACACTTAACAAGCTTTTACTGTGGGAGAAGAAACGCACACAGCCAACACTGCACAAAATAGCAGAATTTGATGATGATGAAGGACTGATCAGCCATATACAAATAGCTTTTTACAGCAATCCACTCCCATCACCTTTACAAAGGTAATTTACACCTTATTATCACAGAAGGCTACAATAAACAAAGACCTTTTTCAAGTTTATCATTTTACTTTTTGTAAACAAACATTTGGGTCAGCACTGCTACCCTAGAATGTTTTAGTTATTCAACCTGGAAGAAGTAAATAAACAAAAGCACAGCTTTGCTTTAACATTCACTATGCTTTCCATGACCTTTTATAAGCCTTTCCAGAGAATGGCTAAGGAACTTAGGAGATAGACAGATATCTGCATTGATATGACCTTTAGCGATTGCTATGACTATTGATGATTAGAATTTCTAGCAATAAGGAAAACAAACATCCTTCACAAATGATACCATGGTAGAAACCTCAACAAAGTCCAAAGCCGTACAATGGCTACAGAATAAACTACTTTTTCTCTCTACAAAGAGCCTTCTAAGAAAATGCAAAATAAGATTTATGTATCACTGTTCACAACACAACCATGTATGTATCAAGCAGCAGTGAGGAAAGACCTTGTAAGTAAATGGAAATGATGATTTTGAAAACAATAAGCTGCATGGAGTAATAGTATTAATGAAAGGGAGGCGTGGCTATTTCTAAGGCTTTTTTCCATAGCCTGTTAATTTTGTATAGAGAGAGAACTTCAGCTACTGTACACTATGTTCTCTGTACAGCAGATGGCAGGAAAAATCCTAATGCATGAAGCACAGAATGAGAGCAGCTCAGTTTTGTGATCTCTAGTGCTTCAAATGACATCTGGGGCATAAAAAGCAGCATGTCTGGTATGCTTATTACCTGATCTTTGCTCATGGATAAATCTCAAAGCAAATTAAAACACCATTTGAAAGTTGTGCCTGTCAATTCTATTTGGACATAGTTTTCCAGGGATAAAACCATGGAAAACAGCACTTTGTATTAGGAACTATTAAGAATAGAACAAACAGTATTTCAAAGATAAAACTGGTCAATGACATAAAATCTATTAAAATTACAGCACACATTTAAAGGCATTTGATATGTGAGGCCTTTAAATGTTTGCAAGGTATTTCAAACCACATAAAACAAAATATTCATCTGGAAGACTTAGAGATTTCAAAACATTTGATACTGCAGGATAACGGAGATCATCCACGTTTGAATGTTACTATCAATCTTCTGTATTAAGTTGATTCTACTTTACAGCATGGTCAATAAATTGGTAAGAATACAAAATTAAAATACTGTTATTGTTTTCCATGGGTATTTTCTAGTTGTTAGTAACAAATTCTAGATCTATTAAGATTAGAAGGTGTCAATTTGTGAGGAGTTGATATATCCACTGATAAAACAAAAAGGTGGGGGTTAATCAAGATCTCTGCTACTTCAGCAACTTTAATCCAGTTCTTGAGTAGGTAAGGAAGGAATACTATATCTTCACAACCAAAATAGATTACAATACCATTCAGAAAATAAAAGGAAAAGCTTCCCTTCATCAATACATACAAAATATCTGGGGGTCTGATATAAGATGCCATGACATGATTTAAAGAAAGTACATTAAAGCATAGCTCATTTCTGAATGATAGCAAGGGAGCCTCTAAATCATTAACTTTACTGCACTGCTACGCTGTACTTTGATCTCCACGTTACAGTAACCAGCCATTCTTGGTGCATATGAGATAGCACGCTGATTTTTGTTTTCGAATACAAGAAAATCATGAATTAAATATAATCAGGTACATCCAATTATCTCATTATAAAGATCACTAAGCATCTTAAAACACACAAACTGAGCAGCCTGTATTTCACTGAAATAACAGGAAAGTGGCAATACTTTTATCACTTGTACTGTAAATGTTGCTAAGAAACCACTTAACAATTCTGTTGTCTTCCAAACAAATTCTATTTGCAGAATATGCCATTAATAATTGATAAATGAATTGACAAATCTCAAAGTAGCATTTGGTGGTAATTTTTCAATACCTTTACCCAGAAGTACCTTGGACAAAAACAATTTGTTAAGCATAAAATTAAGAGGGTAATTTTTCAGAAAATCAGGATTGCAAAATCTGCAAGCACTGTGTGCTGAAACATTTGATGTATAAAAAAATAAATGAAACTTCTCCATTCTTCGTTCTGTCTCAACATCAACTACTATTATTTCAATTAGAAGTCAGCAAATAAAGCGATCATCTGTAAGCTTTTTTTGTGGTTACTATTTATGCCCTGTGGTGTAGTACTGCTAAAATATGGTATATGATGGTAGGAAAACATTTGTGAACATGAACAACAATGAATAAAAGTTATCAAACACATGCTGAGCACCCTCTTTATAAAACTTTTTTTTAGACACAAGCATTTGGAATGTTACAACAAGTATTTACACTATTGCAATTTTAATCTGGTGGTAAGGTCTGTATAATATGAAAAAAAAACCCACAAACCAACAACCACCAGAGCATCCTAAAAGTGACTGTATAGCTGAGTATTGCTTAAAAAAGAGTAAGCCTTATAATGAGGGTGAAGAGCATTAGAAAAGCCACATCACAAACACACTGTTCATAGCCCATCATGCATTTCAACTTTTTATCCAACTTACCCCTCTTTTGAGGCTTCTGAAAGAAGGAATTCTGGGCTTCCCTGTTTTTATGTCACTCATGCAATAATGCACTGGTTCAATGGAGAATATGGGATACTGGGACCCATTAGGAGTACTGGATATGTATAAACTAGTAGGGGTTAGGGGTGGGGACTGTGGCTAATGTGGAAATAAAGAAAGCAACAAATAAGCCAAATGTTCAAAGTGATTTTAAAATGAAAATTCTGTCTTATAAAAGCAAAATTTCCATCTATCACAAACACCTTTAACTTTCACAGACACGTTTATGCTATCACTGTATGGGTTTTAAGAGGTTGCTGTCACAAATTAATCTTCAGAGACAGAGGAATATTTAAGAAAACTCCAGGCTAAACTTTCATAAGATCTCACAAAAGATTCCAAACTTGTTTCTCTGTTCTTTTAGAACAGGAAATGTTGCTTTTTCCAACTTTATTTATGGTCATTCCGGAAACTTGCGCAACTCTGCTCACATTTTCTTCCTACATTTTGATGCACCTTCCCCAGTAAGTTAGAAATAATATGTACGTACATGGAGAATGACCAAGAAAGAGGTCTACTGAGACCTCTTGTAATCAAACTGGACTTGCAAGATGGCTGCGTACCATTCCTAATCAACATCATCACTACAACTTCCCCTGCTTTCTTCCTCCACTTTTAAAAAATTGCTTCTCTGATGGTTTCTCTCTCCTCCTCTTTGCTGCTTCTGCCTATTTCAGTTTTCCCATTTTCTCTGCTACACAATTCATTCTCTTTCCGAAAGGCTTTTCTGTCTGACAACATCAAAAAATAGGTAAACATACGTAAGGAAGTCAAGACCATCCACAGTTCAAGCTAAATGAAGGCCCAAAATGCCATCACAAATACATCAAATACACTAAGTTAGTATTTTTGCTTTGGTTTTCTATTAGCTAATGTTTTGAAATACTTTAAGAATGTTATGTGCTTATATTCTTATAGGAAATATAATAAATAACATACTGTTTATATAAAATATATACAATTCCAAACATATATATATATATATATATATATATATATACATATTCTGATGTATATTTTACTTCCAGCTGGTTTTTTTTGTTTGTTTGTTTGTTTTTTAAAGGTGTGTTCATAAATCCCTTCCTCCCACCCTTCCCCCTCCAAAAACAAAAACTGAACATAATCTTCCATTTATTCCAGGTACTTAAGGAAGAGTATGTAGAATTTATACATATTTGTGTGTCTGTGATTCCACATAGGAAATAGCATGTAGCGTTCATAGTCACCTCTATGAAGTGAACAAACTGTGGAGAACAAAGAGTAGGGAAACAGTCCTGACAGCTTTCCTCAGCTGTCATCATGCTATGGAATATCTTGTATCTACAGTAAACATCCAGACCAGAAGCACATTTAGATCGTTGCTGCTTTGCTGTCTGTGGCAGAGGATGTGTGTGTGTGTGAGCACACATGCAAAGCTTTTGGACACAGGGCTTATTACCAAACTGGTAGTCATGACTGCAGCCAAATGCAATAAAGATGGTAATATGTTGAAATGATAAACTACTATCAGTCATTAATTACACTGCATGAAAGGTAAATAATCAGTTTTCATTTTAACACAGCTGCAGTTACACATAACATATTGAGGAGGAGAAAAGGAATCAGCTGAATCTTTTCTGCAAAGATCTGCTTGCTTGGAATACTATCCACTGGAAAATAAATCCCAGCCCTCATGAGCTGTAAGGACAGCTTTCTACAAAGTGGCAGAAACGAATTTGGAAGATTAAAACAATCTCACCAAACTCTGAGGGAATCATTTAAAAGATTACTTATATGTTCTAATACTAGCTAAAATCCTACCATAAAATTTAAATTTGTGCCTACTTCCATTTTTTTCCTGAGCATAGGCATATTTTTACCTTTTTCACAGCTACATTTCCTCTGGGATATTTTCCTGTATGGATCTTCAACAGTATGTTTTATCAGTGAATTACTGTAAGTTTTAATATCTTTGAAAATAGCACATTTAATTTAAAAAATAAAGATAAAATCTATGTACTATTCCTATTGATAAACATACATAAAATGTGACATTTCAAAGGAGGTTGCTTTTTGTAGTATTAAAGAGAGATCTGAAGCCTGCCTGATTCCAAAGCATAAAACACACCCTCTCAGTTTGTTTTGCTTATTTTTATGTCCAAATCAACACTTTTTCTATGCAATTACAGAAAGTCTTTACAGCAACTCAAAATAATTAGGGAAGTTGGAAACTACTTTTATTTACTATATTTCAACCTATGCAGAACATCGAATAACGGATAAAAGACCTTACAGGACACAGACCACTGGAAGAATCGCAAAACCTCCTTCCACAAAAACCTGAGAACATCCAACCTTACTCAAACTGTATGTCATCAAAAAACAATGGAGTACGAGGAGAACGTACTTTTAAAATAAATAATTGCTATTTCTATGTGCTCTGAATCTTCACATTTTAATTTTACGAGTAGTAATTTCAGAATTGTTACCTTTGGCTTTTTTCCAAATAGCCACAGCTTTCCTTTTGCCTTGCCCACTGTAGTTTTTGAATCGATTCTCATTCCTTCCTGCTTTGGTGTACTGATGGTTCCATCAGAGATAGTTCTGTAAATATTCTGACTGTAGTCTTCAAATGGAAAATCTCCAGGAGGTTCAAAACCAGATTTGAAGCAGTCTATCACTAGCTGGGAGTCCTAAACAGAACGTGAGTGAGTTTAAAAAGAAAATCAAGCAGTTATCAGGAGAGAAGAAGAGAGAAACCTGGAGACATAAATTTTCCCTTTAAGTGAAAAGATGCACAGGTGGAAAACAGAGAGGACACAAAATGCCTTCTGTTGGACTGAAGATAAAGTATGTTGTTTTTTTTTTTCTCAGCAGCGTTACCAATGGCACAAATCAAAGCATACATACACTGTTATTCAGAAGCCAGCAAAGAGTCCACACAGGTTCTTAGGAATTTAAGACAGGGCAATGGTTTATGCCCAAATTAGACTCCATCTTTTTATACTTTATCCAATTTAATGCTACATGCCAGAGAAGACACCAACCATGTTGGTATTCTGGGATGTTTCAGGATATGCAAAACAACGCATCCAAATCATATATGATGTTAAACATCTTCAGATCAAAGTAAAACAATAAAACATGAAGAGAACAAATACCAGCAGTACTGGAAACAATCATTAAGACTAATACTTTTATGGCAAATAATTGAAAACAAAAAAAATGTACAGGATTAAGTAATTTTCCTCTTCTCTCCCACTCTCCATGCATCAGTTCACTTTCTAATATGCATTTCCTAAGTAACTCAATTCTACTTACTCTATGTTCATCAACTGATTTTGCTGCAAGGATCATCCCCTCTAAGCATTTGGAGATGATTGGAATAACCTTGCGCTCAGAGTCAGCAAAGCCTTTGTAACATTCACTAAGTTTGATAGTCCTTCTTTCATCCATTTCTTGAAGTTGCTGCAAGCACAAAGGAAGATAAGTATTTATGGACATTTTTTCCTGATCCCGATGTATGCAGCTGCTGTGGTCACCACAGTGTAGTATGGAATTTCTGTACCTTCCCAGTATTACTATTTACCCAACAAAACAGAACCTAATTAAATTTCAAAAAAAGGAAGTCCTGTCAGACATAGATTTGAGATCCCCTACAGAAATTAGAGTTTATATTTTATATTATATTTATAAAATGGTGTCTGGAGGACTGAACTTTCTATTCCTTATTTTAAAGCCTGTGTAAAGCGCCTACAGCCTTCTACTTTGACAAATTTCAGGCAAAAATGAGAACTATAGTGATAAAATTCTGTTGATTTCTACATCTCCTCACTCTCTTCTTCCAAACAACCTCTCTGGTAATAGTACAGCCACCTGAAATCTCATCATCTTTAACTCTGCATTTATTTCTATCCTCTCCAATAAATACCAATGGTTAACAAAAAATACGAAAGGTTCAGAATATTAAAATCAAAACTGAAATGTATGCATTCAAATTTTCTCTTTCAAATACAAACCGTTTCCTTCACAAATGCGCAAGAAAATAAAGAAAAAAAGATTACCATTATAGAAGATCTGTAAACAAAGTCTACTGGAACACAACACAAAAGAACAAATTAAAGAGAAATACTAGTAAGATAATAGCCCAGAACACTTCACCTAAATTAACGTGACAAAGAGAAGGAAACAATAGGCAATAAATACATAAACAGGTTATCAAAATGGGTTAAAAAAGATGGATTTCCTGTGTCTATTCTAACAAAGGCAGATATCTCAAAGAGTGTCTAATTTTATAAGTGAAACAAGGCAACAACCTTAGACCTGCTGAACACCTCTCCCCAGGCACTCTCACATGAAGTTATTAAACACTTGCAAGGAAATAATTTAGAAAACATAGTCCCAGGAGAAAGTAGGACCAGGCCTTTTTGCTTTTACTGGAGACTTTTAGAAAACACAAGCCATTTCAACACTAGAAAAATTGGACCCAGCTACAAAACCAAAACTGTTTCTCCTGGGACTTCACTGCAATATTCCATCAGTGCTAATGCCAGATCTACTTAAGTACTGCTTACCAGCTAAAATATTGTAAGATTCTATAATCAGCCATTTTTAAATTGATACACCTTCAAATGAAGTCAACATTTTTACTTCCATTTCCACACTCCACGTACTCCATGCATTTGTGATATTTTAGGGAGTTCTGTGCATTGCTTGTAATACTGCTGAAGCAATGACCACCTGAGTGTGCAGGAAGCACTTCTGCCTCCAGATCTACCCAGTATAAACCTGCTACATAAGACCCATTAAATCACACTGCCACCATTAGCTATGTGCTTTCCTATGTCCCTACGAGTCAATGCATGAAAAAAAATAGAGAACTAGTGATCAAACTTTGCTAGAATGATTGTTTTAACATTTGCTCTCATACGGATGTCCAACATTTTTATTTTACTGCTCTGTTTCATTAATACTTCAAGTCTTATGTAAAACCTTCATGAAGTATTTCCAGTGCAAGTGTAAGCATAATCACTGAAAACAAACTCTTTAAAAGTCGACTGTATGAGATCGTTAATTTCTTGATAAAATTATCTACTATTGTACAATAAAAGAGAAATTTGACATTTTAAATTCTACTTTCTCCTTTAAAAAACACCAGTCATGCTTTCTTCATTAATTATTTTACCTTGTAAATCTGAGGAATGACAATGTAGTAGTGTTTGTGCTGTTCACCATTAAAATTCTGTAGTTGTGCAGCATATTCATTTTTGTTTTCATCAGCCATGTGTGTACGCAGGTTTAACTGTTGCTTAGCCTAGTAAGAAAGTGTTATTGGTTCAAATATGTCTTCAGCTTTTCAGTGGTACACAGCAGTATTGTAATTTATTTTGCCAGTATGTAAAAACACTAATCAAAATCATCATCACAACTTATGTCTTTACAGTACAAGGAATGTGAGCCTTAATTTATACAGACAGCCAAGAGACCTAATTTGTTACACAGAGAGAGAGTAGTGGTTATTTCGGCTCCCTTAGCCACACTGCTTAAATACATATGCAAAAAACATAGAAGAGGCTGAACGAGACTACATACATACGATAAAATGCCAGATGCCAGTAAGTCTGCCAACTGAAGGGAGAAAACTGACTCAGCATCATCTCAAGGATGATGAAGCAGACTCCATGTACATTTTATTCTTTCATTTTGCACACAATAATCAAGCATATCTTATACATAATTTTGAAGGACGTTGTTCCAGTATGATAAATAAACAAATATAATTTGTTTATAATAAAGGGAGAGTAGAAGACAAACGTGGCACTGCTCTTACCTTTTCAACATCAGCCTTTGTCGCATTAGTGTCGTTGTCCAGTCTTTCGTAGCTTTGCTGCGCCTTCTCTGCCTCTCTGCATTCTCTCTCAAATTTCTTTTTACTCTACAAAAGCCACAAACTTACTGCTTCAGCTACTATCCCATTTTAATTTTTAAAGCAACTCTGAATTTTAAATATCAAAGCTTCCCTTTAAGACCTTAAATTCCCTAAATACCTTTATTTAAGTAAACACAGTTAACATTATTTAGTATACCCAACATTCAATAATTCTGTCTGCTTTCAAGATAACTTGTAGGAAAAATCATTGCAGCTTGGGAAGTTAGTAACTCTAGAGAGGAGCAGGTAACAGATGTGAGTACTACTCTTCTGCTTTAGAAAACAGTCAGGCAACGGAGGTTAACATGTCCCTTTCAAAGGACTCATCTGCGCTCAAAAATACAGCGGACAGAAGCCAACTGATTGTTACTGGTGAACTCTGGGGACTATCTGTCTGAAAGGTAACAGCATCTTGACCTACCACACCTGCTTCTACTCTGATCACCTGACCATGAATTAAAACTCTGACTTGACACTGAAGCAAGACATCAATCATCTGAGTTCACAACAACAAAATAGAAATTCACTTTTCCAGTTTTGCTTCACAACAATCTGGATCACAGATAATAAATTTCAAAGATACAGAAAGAGCAAAGTATTGGAATGCATTGTGAACACACTGTTTTGCATTTTTTAATCCTTAAAAGCAATGTCTGTAATTTATTTTAGAGAAATACACTTTCTGCATTTCTCTGTAAAAGTATAATCCTGTCTCCTGAAAGGGTAACAGCCTACAAATTATATAAAGGGCAGCAGACTACAAATTCAAGTCAAATACTTAAGATTTCACCTTCACAGAAATAAATCATCCCTACTAATTACTCTCTAACCCAATGAGAAGCCACTCAAGCCTGTGCCCACGGGTTAACCAGATTCCTTTACTCTGGATAAACACCAAGGCTTTATGTGTGCACACTGGCTGTTCACAAGAGATTTTTAATTTTCTTTTCAGCAGTGAACTATAAACACATTGGAATGTATTTTGAGCGTTGCTAAATCTGATTTGGCCATTCAATAATACAGCTAAACATTAAATTCTGAGCAAGGAAGATGTTAACAGTTCCATTTACAGATAGGCTTTTTTTCTAGTTAATAATAAACAAAACACAAACTCACATTATCCATCTGTTTCCAGCACATGTCCAGATATTGTTGAGCCTTTCGTCCTTCCTGAAGATGCTAAAATTGCCACAAATAATTTGATTTACATACATTCAGTACTGTCACCATTACTTAGTTTGTGAATTGTGCACAATACACGCTTCTAGCACATCACCAGTACCCTTTGGAAGACATCATTTTATGCAAGAACAGTACCACATTAAAAAAATCAGATTGGCAAAAAAGCTACCAGTAAGCAGTCTCTGAAGATCTTCATCCTCAGGTTTTAGTAAATGTTAACAGTACATAAAAATACACAACAGCTTTAAACATGTATTCTATAAATGCATTATAAAACCTACCTATTGCCAAGTTCATGAAATGAGGTAAAGAAATACATCAGTTCATTCAGAGGCACATCTCATATCTCATTATAAAATCGAGATATAGAAATTACCATTTTTCTCTCAGTTTTTAGATCATGTGAGTATCTCATTAATTCTCCATAGACTCTGTGTCCCATTTCTTCTGCAACGACTTCACGTTGTCCTGCATAGTCATTCAGCTCGTTAAGGATGTTAAAGAAGGCAATACATGAAGTAAACCTGGCAGAGAGAACATACACACAAACAGACAAATACAAGAAGTGAGACAGTTTTGTGTTTGCTTCTTTTTTTAAATAGATTTCCTTTAACACAGTTTATGCTCCTAATTAAAAAGATATCAGGTATATTTTACAATAAACCTTGTTTTAATGCTGATTGAATTACAACAAGTGAAAGTAGGGAAAGCCTACATTGAGCCTAGCACGTACTACTTGTTGCAACGTCTCTTCAAATACATTTTATAACATAGATTTTTGTGGATGGAAAAGAAAGAAGAAGAATACTACCTGGAAAGCCCTGTAGTATAGTGGTATCTCCTAAGCTGCCAACTGAGAGGCCTGAGCTTGGGAACGGATACGTACGTCCCTAGGCTTGGAGGCTGAACTTGTTGCAGAGATGATGTACTTGGTAGTCTTGAGGGTGGAACATGCCAATCATACCACTCATATGCATCCCGATGGATGATCTACAGAACAAGCTTGCTATCAGCTCTGAAGACAGCTGCCTGTATGCCTGCCCACCTCTTGGCTGGAAGTAAGGTGCCACTATGGCTGGCACTAAAAAGGGGGGAAGAGGAGGGGCAAAGGGTAGAAAGTGTGTGTGGAAGGGAAGAAAGAAAAAAAAACAGGCACCACATTAAAATATAGATCTTTCTCTCTTTAACTGTGGAATACCGCCATCTCCATAGGCTTGGCTTCGTATAATTTAAATGCCATCCTAGAACTAGAATTCCTGTTCCCTGTAGCCCAGGTCTTTAAACAGAGTCCAAAGAGATAGAGGAAATCCTAGCGTGGATTTCCAGGAATTCTGTGCACAGCATGTGCTCTGGTCACAATCTGAACCTTAGCCCACATTCTTTCATTCATGTTTATCTCTGAAGGAAACAATGTATTACACTTCTCCAAATAAAAATCGTAATGGATAGGGACCACAGAACAAGCCCCTCTTTTGTACAGCTGTAGAGGAGCAGATGATGCTGAACAACTTTATGAGTATTTATCATTCCGACTTATTTTGTCTCTGGAGTCAGAGAAAGACAGCAAGCTTAAGAGGCATAAATGCTTCTTGCCAAGGTCAAGGCTTGGTTTACACCCAAGTCTCAGATCTGAACACCTAACTATGCTGCAGGAAAGTCTGCTAGGCTAAGAAAAATCACAGCCCAGTGGTAAATTGTTGCTCTTCTATTAAAAAAAACCAACCAACAAACAACAACAAAAACCCAACAGAACAAACTTCTGCTTTCAAACTTTCAGTGAGATGAAGGTTATTTTGGAACACAGCAAGTACAACCTGCCATGTTTACTATTTTAAAATACCACAGAAACAAACGTAATGTGCCATGGTTAAGTATTACATCAGAACTGAGAAGCCAAGCAGCTTTTGTCGTCTTTAAGTATTTTATCTTAGAAGAAACAGAAATTAAAAAATGGACAAAGTGCACCGCAGCCCTTATTTCTTATACGCACAACTTTAAGTGCACATTTTTACCTGGGTTCCTCATCTTTGGATGAACGTTTAGGACAGTACTTCTTAACCAGATTTCTATTAAGGAAGAAGAAAAAAGGATGTTATTTTAGAGTGTGTTTTGACAAAACAAACACAGAGCAAGGTACATGAACAAATAATTTTTTTTCCAATTACCTTATTTTTGAATCTAAGGGTCCCTTAACCTAACACAAGGCAGAAATCTACAGCGTTTCCAATGTCTTAAGTCACTCTGACTTCGAATGATGCATTTATAAGCATTTTAAAACTTAATCCACAGAGACTAGACATAAAGTGTTCTTTATTTAACAGGTTTTTCATATGTATGTGTAAAACAACAAATTCTAACAAATTAGAAAAAAGCAAATACGTGGTCACTGTTTAAACACACACATACTGGACACCGTACACAATACCCATGAACCCATGGATGCTTTCTCCATGCCTGAATTAAGTTTTGAGTGTACATTCAGATGAGTGGTTTTAACCACAATTTTTCTCAATCTTCCATACTACTCTAATTAAACAGACCAGTGCATAAAGACCAATGTCCATCCTCACAAATTTTCCCATATCTTCCAAACATAAGAACCAGATCATTAAAATCTAGCTAATAATCTAGCTAATAAACTGCCCATTAAGAATATCTCTCCTTTAAATTAACCACATTATATTTTTAAAGTGAGAATTAACTTCCCATAAAATAAGGCATGCCAATTACTTGCTTTACAACCCATAAATGGAAGCAACAGAATGCTGACAACTTTTACCAGACATCTCTAATAAAATCATACCTTCCATTAAAAAAAAAAAGTTTACGAAGCAGAAAGTCCACCTTGAGTCAGTCAAGGAAGCACTTTCAAAGTATGTTCCTGAGCAATGAACCTGGATTATGCAAATGGTTCTGTTTTTTTAATTGGTATGAAATACACTTTGTTCAAACTTCTGTTTTGTGCAGAAGGACATATTGTGTAATTAAACTATTTTACACATCCATCCAAGAAAGAAATCAGGTTCGAAATATCAGCTCTTACAGCTGCTATGCCAGCTGTATTTTAAATGGCCGCTAAATATAACTTTCCCAGCTGTCTGTCCAGTAATAATTGAGTCAACTGGCTTTTCACATCTTAAGACTAATTCCTAATTAGTAGCCTAAATCCGTTACTAATCTAATCTAAACCAAAATACCTTCTCCCAGAAGCAGCCACACGGAAGGGTTGGATTAGATGATCTCCAGAGGTTTCTTCCAACCTCTGCAATTCTCTGATAAAAAGCAAACAGCATCTCCAATGCTACAAAATATTGTATGAAACAAAATCTTCCATGTATGTTTTGCATCCCACTCCCACTGGCTGCCTATGACTTCATCGCTATGAACCACGAGCCATTTCATCACTAAAACATGAGTGCTAGTCCTGTCTTCATCTAAAATAACCTGTGTTTTCCCTTCAGGTTATGTGGAAGTCCCACATCTCTAAGGTACAAGCAGTGAGAGACCATGTTCAGCCATGAAGCACATAACAAAATATGAACTGGGAGTCAGTGGAAATAGCAGGCTTGTATCCTTTGTCTCTTCTCATACAGTCAGTCTACAGCCAGAAAGAACTACTGTAAGATCATCACATCATTTACACATCCATTCATACATTAACAATAAACACTGACTTTTAAAAATGCATCTACAAATCGTGTAACACCTTTCTCACTAAAGTCAAAACAGGAATTGTTCTTCACCATCATCAGAATCTACTGCCTGCTGTTAAATTCAACTTGGTAAGGAATAAAAGGAGACTTTCTGATCGTAAAATTCAAAAGATTAAAAAAACCCTAGCCATCTACTAATCTTCTTAGCTAAGTAACTTTCCCATGTTTCATTTTCCCTTACACTTCTGCTTTGCTACTCAGGGCTTATTAATGACTGGCAAACTCCTGAAATTCACCTTATTAATATTCAGAAGGTGAACTACATCTCAAGCACACAATGCTGTGTGTAGCTAAGCAACCATGCAAGTCTTTTCAAGGGAAGATTTTCAGGAGCGTTACAAAAGAGAAAGTAAGCCACCTTAAAAAGCAAAAAATAAAAAAATCCACCACCATAGAATTTAAAGCTGCAAAAGAGAAGGGCTTCAAGGTCCAATAAACAGTACAAAGTACAACAACCGAAGTTAGTAAATAAAAAGCAGCTAACAAATGCAAAATTTCTAGCTAAAGGAAAAAGGAGCGTTCACATGAACAACGAAGCATAAATGGGTTTTGTTTGTTTTTGTTTCACTTACAAGTGAGTATCAACATTTAGAAAGATCTTATCTCTGCCTAAATACAGGTCTGTTTCTCAGGATCCTAGTATGGCTCTGGACCAGTTTCTCCAAACCATGGGAACCTTACATACCTCTACAGCAGCAATTAGAGTAGTTTACATCTTTAAGGAGCCCAAAACAACAGCACTAAGGGCTCAGCACTCACACTACCAGTTTCTGGAAGTTTTAGTCCAGTCCAGTTCTAGCCAATTTCCCTCAGTTAAACACCCACCAGTATTTACAGAACAGGTTCACTTCCCACAATTCAGATTCACTGGGAAGAAATCTAGTTTGCCTGTTTTCAGATTCTTCCACAAGAGAACCAGACTACAGCTGCGTATAACTCACCTGATTTCTTCTTAAACACCATTCCTGCCCCAAACTAGCAGACTCACATAAAAACGCTCTTACTAGAACAGCTGGACTGACAATGTTTCAGCTTAAAGTAAGGGGAGTCCCTGCAAAGCCCATTTGGAGCAGGAGAAACCACAAACAACATATCCCCACTCAGATTTGTACTGATCCCCCAACCACACAGATTAATTTTGAAGTGTCCATATGTGTGTATGTACCTGCACATATAAAATATATTGAGTAGTACATATGCATATGTATGCACTGGTTGATAAATTAGAGAACAGTTTAAAAAGAAAGCAAGTGCTTACTTCAGCAATTCTTGCCACTCTGCTAAGTTGTCCTGTTTAATTCTACAACTGTACAAAAAAACCAAACGCCTACCATTACAATACGAATAACTTCGTTCCCTGATCACAGGCGTAAATCCCACTTTTAACAGTGATCAAAAATGACCAGCAGGCAGACTCTGATAAGCTGATCTGAATGTGTACGTTTGGTGGCCCTGCTAGGTAGGGGGGTTGGAACTACATGATCCTTGAGGTCCCTTCCAACCCGGGTGATTCTGTGATTCTGTGAAGCTGTCCTTAGGAGATCAACATCCAGACTCCACAACTGAGGTGTAATTTTTAACCTCACCTAGCAAGTTTGGTTGACATGTTGGAGATGATGAAGGTCTCTGAAGAAATACTGTGAGCTGGTTCTCTCAGAGCACAATTTATATAACAGTCTTAGAATGCCTCTTTTTATATCTAATCCAAAGGCCAATGAACAAACTCATGAATACACTGAGCCAAGTCAACATTAGAGATCTTATAATTTAATTCAAAATAAATGCAGAATCTTCATTTTCCTTCAAATTTTTCTTTCATTTTAAGTAAAGAAAAGAAAAAAAGAAAATGCAAGTAACACATTTGAGCAACAGTACTGTCAGGTTCAAAAGAAAAAACAAAGTAAAAATTGCAGACCGTGAGAACAGAACCAAATCTACTGGATAAACTGCTCTGCATTTCTTCAGAGAGGGATGACACTTTAATACCTTGGAAATAAAATCTAGAATTCTATCACATCCTGAATTACACGCATCTGGAAGTAGATTTCATACAGCACAACATTCAGTTTGCATGCCCTGTGATTTTATCAAATCTCTCTTTTCAGTATAAGTTGGTCTTAGGTTAACACCACTGAGAAAGCAGCCTGGACTATATTACTCATTTTAAGTTGTGCATTCTGAAATTTCAAAAAGCACCTAATTAATACATTTACATTATTTATAGGCATGTACATAAGATGTCTACAGCTGTACATTTACACAAAAACACGCTAATGAACTCAAAACTCAGATTTATTCACTCAAATAACACAATGTAAAGAATGGGTGCAGCAGCATCAACAGGGCAGAATTTGTGCCAAGGTAACAGCTGTGACATCTGTTCGTATTAAACTTCTGCAGTGCCTACATCACCCTACAAGTGACTAGGAGCAAACTTATGATTCTTCAGAAATGAATTTTGAACTGCAGTAAGATCTTAAAGGTGTTTCACATCTGTAAGGCAGTAATTTCAAATAGTTTTCTGTGAGTGCATATCAACATACAGGCTGGGTTAAAGTAACGACAGTGAATTCAACTTAGAAACATCATCTCACCAGAAAAAGCTTTCAGCTAAATTAGAATTAGAGTTTCCAAAGCTGAATATCCTTGGAATGATTAAGAAGAAACCTACCACACCCATGTTTAGATCATCATCAACCTAATTTCTCAGCTTCAATCAAAGAAGGATATCTGAGAAACAAACACATACGGTGATAATTTGTGTCACCAAAGTCACATTTGAACTTATGCACATTTTAGATCACCCCTCAAGATTCCACATACAGAAGTGCAGGAACTCATCTTCAACTTGAATGGATGTGTGCATACACCGATACCTTATTTAGAAAAACAGCCACTTTCTGGTGTGCAGAAGGAAGTAACAAAGCCCATGAAAAATACATTTGCTCAAATCAATTAGGAAGATTACAATTTTAAAGAGAAACACTTCAGTAGTTCAAGAACAACCAACACTATTTACTTAAACTAGCAATAAAGAAAAGTTGACCAAACTCAGAAACCTTATTCTGCATGGAAGTTTCACCTATAACTCTATGACCACTGTTACCAAATGTTAAAAAATATGGAACTCCTACATCTTATCACGTGGTGGAATGCTTCAGGCAGAACCAAAAGGGATATAAGCTCTCAGAAGTCTTTTCCATGTGATAATCTGGTAATAAACAAAATAGAATTTTGCCTCACCCACTTTCAGCAGTAATGCTGATCAAAAGCAGCATCTGTGAATTCAATTACAGAAGTCAGCCCAGTGCCCAGTAATTAGACATACTACATCTTTTTCCCCTGTAATAAAGTAAGAACAAATACAGCAGCTGTATAATCATACTTAAATCTATGAATCTACGTCTTGTATGTTTGCCCTAATTCTCATCTCTGTAAATCAGTAACAGCCTACAATAAACTCCATATTCCTTGTGTCAACACAATGTTAATTGAGAATAAAGCTACACAAAACTCAAGATACTTCCTTTAAGTTGAGACTAAAAAAAAAAAAGAATGTTTGTTTGCTTTTTTCAGAACAAAGAATATTTCAAAGATAAAACAAACTTCACAGTTTTTATTTTCCGTCCACGCTGAACATTTCTTGAAAGGTGAGTTTTTCTTTTTTTTTTTTTCTTGACATCAACAGTTGAGTTTGAGAGCAACAATAAATTACTTGTGAGAACTCTGTCCCAAATACTGTTCCTAGTTCACAAATTATCATTTCTGCAATTACCCAGCAACCGTAAACCATCAGTTTCAACATCAATATAGCGAATTCATTCAAACACCTCTTCATATGCTCTATGTGCATCACTTGCTTGCCATCTCCTTAAAGATTTGGAACAGCTGTTGCCACCTGGAAACATCACTAAACTGTGATGGAATCCAAAAAAATACCTTAGGCAAGGGCATAGACTATGTGAGTGTGAGATTCTGCCAGGACATAGACTCTGATTTGTGAAAACTCTTATGAAGAAGTATCCTTGGTTCAAGTCTATGAGAGTAAGATCCAACCAACAATAAATACGGCCCACCAGAAAAAAAAACACACACACAAAGAAAATCTATACATTTCTAGCTCTGTATCTCCTGCTGAACTTTTAATTTCCTTTCAATGTCCCATCCAAGTAGAAGTACAGTCAAAGAACCACCAAGAGCTGAACACTTTCTATACTGTTTATGTACCTGCTATGTAAGGGCATAGTAAGTATGAGAGTTCATTATATAGAGATTCTCAGCAGTGTGTTTGCCAGGTTGTAATCCATTAGAAGAGAAAAAAAATGAAGATAAAACCAAGAAATTGCTATCAGAGATATTAATATCCAGCTTACAGGCCCCATGCTGCTAGCATTAAAATTCACCAGAACTACAGTCTAACCCTATGATCTCTCTCTCAGAACTTCTAAGGAACAGTGTGCACGATGAATAACTTTTCTGAAGATGAAAACTTCATGGATCTCAATCTCCCACGGGGCCTTATGACTGCTGCCTTTTACAGTTAACATCAATGAGTGTCCTCCAAAGAAATGACGGTTGAAAACAAGGCGCAATCACATGACAACTCACAGCTAACCATCAGTTCTCTCCTACGGGAAAGCAAGGCAAGAATACCTAATGGTGGATTAGTGAACCAGTCTCCTGGCAGAAAATCAGTCACCTTCTTGTGTGTGTGCTGTCCAGACCCTCGTGGGCAGCAGGCAGGAAGTGCGTGCATGCACTGTACGAGTGCGCAGCAAGACCAGTGTTTTGCAAAGCTGTCATACTTACTGCACATACACAAGCAGCCCAGCCATCTGACAGAACGAGTACTTGACATAACTTGCTTCTCAAAAGTGCTTTGAGAAAAATCAGAAGTTTCATCCAAAATAACAAAACACTACACAGAATACATTTATCATTTTTAATCACATCCTGGAGTTCTGGTATCATCTCACTGCCTGTGGAAAATGAACTTTTAAATAGAACACAGCAAAGCAACATCTCCATAATACTGAAGGAAACTGAATAGACTCATGCAAATAAAATATTTCCATTTTTAAACAGACAACTCAAAACAGATCAAAACTAGACTGTGAATTAGTGCTGTGCATGCTTCAAACTTTCCTTTACCTCCTGAGGTTCTTCTATGTCAGCTTTGGAAAACTGGTATTTATTTCCTTCAGGAAAAAAATTCCTTCAGTAAAGTAAGAGGATATTATATTTGGTGAATATACACAACTGGATCAAAAGAAACTAATACAGAAATCAAACAGAAGACACCACCACCCTCTCAGCTATAAACCTCTTAAATGTGATTACGAGGAAGGGTTCCTCAGCTCTGTATCTGGTGACAATCTAGTTTGCCAATGGTGAGATAATAGAAGACACCACCAAAGAGAAGCTGCTGTGTAGCTTTCATTTGTCAAGGGCCTGGCAACAGCTTCACCTGAATCCCCAGAGGAACACAAGGGTAACAGTTAAAGCCAATTTCATAGTAATATCTTATCTTGCTCCTCAAGTATCATGTGTCATTGGTTTAAAAAAAAAAAATAAAAAAAATCCCACTTTATTCTGGCACCTCTGGGTCACTTAATTGCTACTACACTTCTTGTATGATCTCCTTCTCTAGGAGGGGAAACTCCAGTTATACCTACATTACATTTCATTTGGCAACAACAGAAAGTGAACAAGAGAGATAAGAAAGAATCAGAATCGAAAGGGATGACTCGCTATGGAAAGGTCATCTTTTAAGGACATGAAGATCTGCTGCTTTCTGAAGTTTTCTCAATGATTTCAATCAGATTTCTAAACAAAATGTAGTGAAGCTCTTGACAATTCAACAAAAGAAATTAATTAGTAGTAGAGGTTTGAAACTGGTTGAACAAAGAAAACGTAGGTGGGTTGAACAAAGAAAACGCAAAGGGTAGGTGGGAGGGATAGGAGAACAGAGGGGAAAACAAACAAGGAAACAAGCATACACCAAAACAAAATAATGCACTAAACATAATTAAATATAATAACTAAATAACTAAAATAATTTTGTTTTAGATTGCTAAAGAAAATCGTGTCTGTCATAAAAAGAATTAATGATTTAATTCACTCTTTAAAAGAAAAAAATACTCTTTAATCATGAAACTACACAGTTGCCCATAATTTGATTTTAAGTAACTGGTAAGACCATTTTAAAATGAATTTAAAAAAATATAATAAAAAACTTACCTCAGTTGCTTTGCATAGTTTTGCTCAATTTCTATCCTTTCTTTTACAAATTTTGCATATTTCTCCAAGAAGTCAATGCCCCACTGAGTATGCTTGTCTAAGTTGTCGAACTGATCCTTAAAAACAAAAGGAGACAAGAATACTGAGAGTGAGCGAAGAACTGCACCAACACCAGAAACAACAACATGTAATTCACGAGTTGCACTTTGAGGGAATTTCATCACTTCCACAATGCAAATTCACCTTTTTTCCCTTAAAAACCCTCTCATTCACAAGTGGAAGTTTTCCACCAATTAAAACATAAGCAGAGATAAATATTAGGTAACTAACAGACTGCTGTTCAACTAAAATGATGTACTTTTTTTTTTTTTTTTTTTTTTTTAAAGAAAAACACAAGCAGTAGTAGTTTTGATATGAGGAAGCAATTCTACTCGTAAGATTGTTCACTGAAACAAAAATAACGTAAATGATAGCTGCATGACTAAGTTGAGCATGGGCAGCATATGAAAACATTTAATAAAGTAAATCCATACACAAAGTGTATCATCAGTCTAGCAAGAGATTGTGAAGAAAGCAAACCTGTCCTTGTAATGGTTACTACAAATGTTAAAGGAAAGCAAATGCACAAAGGAAGCAGGAAGACTAAAAATAAGCCTAACTTCAAAAAAATAAGTGGTGATTATTAATAAATTATCTCCAAAACTCATCTATCACTGTGTAGTAATTAACATTACTGATAACTGATTTCACAAATGAGTTTCACAATGCACAATCAGGGACAATGGCTTTCCAAATACTTTGCTCAAGTGAAAAAAAGACTCCACTGGTGAAAATTTCTCCTCAGGTACCAATATGAAACTGGACTGGAAGAACTGAGTACATTTGACACGTCACACTTTACAGAAGTATTTAATCACAAACTTTGCCACAAGTCTGTTCCTCCATCTGATTCTATAAGCAGTAGGCTCTGAGCAAAGACAATTTTGTAGGATTGCACATAGGCCCTGAAGGGAAGAAAGAATTAGTTCACTCTCAATATGAGGAACACCTAGAACATGCATTAGACAATGAGAATGAAGTGAAAAAGAAAGTTGCTCTCACACAGGGCTCAAAACTTAAAACCCACTGCTCATCTTCACCACCCTTTACTATCTTTACATTAGGACAGCTCCTCTACCATTACTAGTGCCTACAGAATTACTCACGAAGGCATTAATGATCTGGTAGATAAGCAATGGAAACTCTGATTCAGTGGGCCATTAGTCCACATTTTGCTGGAAGGGGCAAAGGTAGCACCAGTATGCTCTCTTCTGAAACAGCTTTACAAAGCCTGTTTGCTTGCTGTCATTTGTTGGCCACCAATTATATTATGCATTATCATGGAACAAAGCATACAATATGATGCCTAAAATTAATACTTTCAGGAAGTACATAGGCCAATCCAAAAGTAATGCCTCCTATTTATTTCCACAGAAACTACAACAGATACAAAGAGCCCAACAACACTACTTGGTAGAGCATATTCTCAACTACAAAATACTAGCTCCCAACATAGCCACCACCACTAGCTATGCATTTTTGCCAGTGATGAACAAGAACCTGCATGCCACGCTCCTAAAAATCTGCACCAGCAGAAATGACCCACTGTTTCACAGCTGCTATGACAGCATCACTGCTAGGAAAATGTTGCCCACACAATCCATCTTTCATCAATCCAAACAGATGAAGTCAGAAGGTGTCAAATCTGGACTATACAGCACAGTGTGCTGTACAATACACTGGACAATAGTATGCTATACTGGGTGTAGTAGTGGAGTCCAGCTTAGAATGGCAACGTGCTCGAAGGCCTTCAAACTGATGTAGGGGTTGGTGTTATCATGTCATAAGAGAAAGGTTGTCTTCTTTTCTGGACTGACTCTGGAAGTTCAAGCCTTCAGCTTGGTCAGCAAGGAAGTGGCCAGAGCTGACGTCTACGTTTGAAGAAATCCAGAAGGATCACCCCTTCCCTATCTTAAAAAAAAACAGTGTACATTACTTTACCTGCAGAAGGCAGCATTTTGAGCTTCCTCTTCAATGAGAAGTTAACGTGTTGTCACTCCATGGATTGCCATTTTGACTTCCACTCATAATCACAGAATCATAGAACGGATTGGGTTGGAAGGGACCTTTAAGATCATCCAATTCCAACCTCCTGCTACAGACAGGGACATCTCTCTTTAGACCAGGTTGCTCAAAGCCCTATCCAGCCTGGCCTTGAAGGCTTCCAAAGGGGGGGGGGGAGGCTTTCAGTGTCTCACCACCCTCTCAGTAAAGTGTTTCTTCTCAATATCTAGTCTAAATTACGTTGAGAGAACACATCTGGCTTCACAATTTTTCCAATTTTCAAACAAGAAACCAGGGAATCAAAGTCTGCAGTCCTACAGTCCTTACATTGCTCAGCAATGACAATGAGATAAATGAGCAAAAAAGAAAGGTAAGATCAATGAATTAGCAGAGAGAAAAAAATAGGTCTTTTCAGACAGGCTTCTAGATGTGAGTCACGAATTTATTCACTGTCCTTTCAGCTTCTCAAACAGCACCTAGGTTTAAGCTCTGGGCCTCAATTCAGCCAAAAGTTTCCTTCTCATCCAGGAGCACAAGCAGAAGATATTCCATACTGCTAAAGAAGAAGTCAAATTATGCACTGACACAATCAAGCCAAGAATTATCCTGAATGGAAGGGGGAAAAAAAAAAAGCCAACATTGTACAGAGGAGAAAGTGAACCAAATGGATGCAAGAGAATATATGCCTGGATCTTTCATAAATAAACAGTTTTATACATACATAAATGCATAGGTCACTACATTAATACATCCTGCTCCTTTGTGGAAATGCAAAAACAGCATTGACTAAAGATCAGCAAAGGAAAATTACAGAATAAAAGAATACATCCTGTGAGATCTGGCTAGCTATTACTTTGATAGCAAAGTATTTTTTTTAACAATATCACAAAGCGAACAAATTGCTGCTTGTCCAGTAACACCCCACCACTCTTAACAGCTGAGCAATAAATTTTTTTTGTAAAAAAAACCCACCAAAATTAAAACTGCAGCTGACTATTATGAAACTAATTAACTTCAGCTAATGGACGGCGGCCAGAAGCACTGCCCACTCAAAAGTCAGACTGCAGTTCAAGTTGCTGCAAACAAATCCAAGACTTTAAGAAAATCTGCAGTAGGTCAATAAAGATTATTTCAAAACAAGTGTTACCTCCCTAATTTTTACTTCCAGATTATTTACTGGAACAACAGATGAACGCTGCTATTACTTTTAGTTACACGGTTCTTATCACATTGTTGCAGATACCAGGGAATGTGACAACAGCAGTGAATGAGCAAGACAAAAAGCTAAGCCAAATCGTATTTGCACCAAAAACAAAGCCATGATTTCTCAGGATGAATGTGGGAATTGCTCTCCAACTATAATGGATATCTTTTTTTTTCCCCAAGCAAACCCCAACAGTCATAAAAAAAATAAGGGCAATTTTTTAAATTGCTCCATTTCTCTTTGGAGCAATGAACACTGAGGGAATACAACTGCATAAAAGCCTCACCTTTCCTCACCCAAAAGCAATCTCTAGCCAGTCCGGCCACTGTTCTTACATAAAAAGAATTTCAAACAAAATATGTTAACCCAGTCTGCAATTTTTAAACAGCTAATGCTCCCAACATCCACTGGTGCTGGAAAGAGCTGTACGTGCATTAAGAGCTAAAATTGTGATAGCAAATTCTGTAAAATAAGCAAGTGAATAGCTAAATAAGAGTTTTACTAAATTATTCCTTTCCAAAAAACTCATTTATTTTGTCCATTTCGATTGACGTCTAAATGTGCCTTATCTTCTATTTCCCAGATTCCCATTTAAATGATCTCCAGACAACTCAGTTCTAAGCCTTGGGAATCATTTCAGACACAAAACTGCATCAGCTTAAAAGTTTAGAGAACCTATCTCAATTAACAATAATTAAATCCACAATCCCTCTAAAATTCATTTAGTAAGACACCTTATTCAAAATCATGAATTTCACATGTATGCTACCATCATTTTGTTCTTTTGACTCGACTGTACATCAGTTTTTCCACACCTTAATATCTAACACCACCAATTTTAGCCTGCAGTGACAAATAAGCCACCTTATTTGTAGTTTAGGAACACTGGCACAGGATTGGCTTTTTTCCAGTTCTTTGTTCTCCAGGCTGTCTAGCATGTCTAGCCTAAACTTCCAAGTCAGTCAGCAGGAGCTTAAAAGCTCAATTCTGCACTTAGATACCTCGATTCTTAGCACTGCTACAAGTCTAACAAGGAAATACAGACTATGGGCCAATGAGATTCCATAAGGAGAGTTTCAGAGCATGGAATGAGATTCAGGTCAAAAAACAAACAAAAACCATTTGGTATCCAAAAAATCCCCAGTGCAGCTCTAGATTGAAATGCTTTATTTTATACTGCTTTAGGAAAAGCAACAAATTAATAATCCATAAAACTGCAAGCCTAAAGTAATCCAACTGAGAAACTGGGGCTGATTATATAACTCAATCTAATGTTGTTTACTGAATTTATACCCGTGAGAGTTTCTCAAATGAACTTTCCTTCCTGTGTCCACAGTACTGCAGAAGACAGTTCTCAAACAGAACATTTAACTACTTGAGTACAAGTTAATTTACAAAGCAACTACTTTGCATATTATCACACCTCTCCCTTGAAATAGATGGTATTTGTATGAAACATTGCAGCTTGCTTATTATTTTTAATGAAGATGAAAGCCTTGAGTTAAGTTCAAGCTGTCAACATTTTACATTAATGAGATTACTCAAGGTCAGTTTATTGTTGATTTATTCTTTCTTAACTCGCATTGTTTGTGCAAAGAACTACCTGACTTGCTGTATTAGAAGTTATGGAAACCATGACCTACTAATGACAAGTTACCAATATAGCTTTGTGTCCCTTTCCCCACTTGTCTTCAGCACAAATTAGATTATAAAATTATATTTTAGTTAGAGAGAATGCGACAGTAATCTAATTTGGACAACACATTTCAGATTTTCTGATCTTTGAAACCTCTTCTGTGCCTTTTTTTT